AAATCTGCATATGATTGGCTAGCAGCCCAGATAAACAGGATGATGATGCCCTCCCAGCTTCCAATCCGTCCTACTAACGTTAAATGTCGGTTGGCGTTCGTGGTATAGTGGTATAAAACCCAGACAGCTATGCTGTCTCCGGGAATCCCCGATTTAATTTTATGTCGAATCACCGTTTTTGTTCCCACGGGAATAGATGGTTGTTCCTATTCTATGCGGACATTTCATTAATTTATCTGAACGAAAACGTGATATGATAGGATATTTGAAGACAGCTATTTCAATTCCTCCGTGCATTGGAAAGTTTACTAGATGAATCCCATAATTCATTTATAATCACAATAGAATGATTGAATTATTAAATTACGTAATAAGTTCTTTATTATCTGTACCGTAGAGAGTAGATCTTATTTTGTTAACTTTGTTTGGGTGTATAGTTTATTTCTGTAAAAGAAAGCGGTCAATCGGAGGGAAGTACCAGTCTCCTACTATTACTACCATGAGAGTCATTGCTGTGGACAGCTGGTTTCAAAAATTCACATTAATACTCCAGACTCATGACTTATTAGTTGTATAAGTTTTATGTTTTTTTTTTTTATGACAGGATAAATACCAGAATTATAATACAACAGCGTGACTTATAAAGTGCTTTTCGTACGTAAAGCTTCTGTTTTTATATCTCCGACCACATTGAAAACTTTAAAGTAACCAAATTAAATTTGTAAGATAAATATTATAGTTTTTTTGTTGGGATGGAGGGATTTCTGTTGCGCCAGAGGTGCCATTTGACAGCTTAACCAGGGAAGGAGGGCGAGAACGGGTTCAGCAAGTTTTTTTTATTTCCTTTGTAGGCTGACGAGCGTACGGCCGACCTGATGGTAAGTGATTACCGTCGCCCATGGACTTCAGCAATGCCAGAAGCAGAGCCAAGCCGCTGCCTACCGCTTAATACTCTTCATAAGTCTCGTTTGAAGGAGGACATGTCATAGCGCTCGGGAAACACCGTGGAGGGGAGCTCATTCCATAGCCGGATGGTACGTGGCAAAGAGCTAAGAGGAAGACATAAATAGTACGAACATAGAAGCACGAACTTTAATTTTTTTCGGAGGATCGATCAAGTCTTATGTTTAGTTTTTAAGCAAATAAATGCGCAATTAACTGGATATCTCACGTTTCTATTTATTGGTTCGTAATACTGATAATTGAAACCAAACTGTTTGTGCCACGATAAAGTCATAATTTCCGGCTTGAAGGGTGGGAGAGATCTGATTCCATGCATTTACACATATTTGTTAAATGTTTTGTTAATTTGTTAAATGTTCTGAAGGAGTATACATTGAAGGTGTTAAAATAAATTTAGATAAACAGAGTAATTAAGAATTTAACCAATAAAATAAGCGAGGTACAATATTTTAATGAGTTTGATAAGAATATTACTCGCGAGAGCGCATTTAAAAAATTAAAACAGATTTTTATTAACTTGCGTCATTACGGATCCTTTCGATCCATTAACGGTCATTTTAGGTACATGAAGCACCGGTCACCGTCTTTGTCGAATGCGTCGCTTGCGAGAAAGGGCTCGACAAATTATTTAACCCATATAGACATAGCCCACTGAGTTTCTCGCCGGTTCTTCTCAGTGGGTCGCGTTTCCGTTCCGGTGGTAGATTCTGCGAAGCACTGCTCTTGCTAAGGCCAGTGTTAGCAACATTCCGATTCAAACGAGGCTTGTGCAGAGTATTAAGCGGTAGGCAGTGTTTTGGCTCTGCCCCTGACATTGCTGAAGTCCATGGGCGTCAGTAACCACTCACCATCAGGGGGGCCGTGTGCTCGTCTGCCTACCAGGGCATTAAAAAAAAAATTGGGCCCTGTGAGCTCACCTACACGTCAAAGAGAAGCTGAAATAGCCTCTCAAGTCTATAAGCATAGGTACGAAAAAAAAAAATGCGTCCCTTTATATACCATACTCACTTAAAGGTCTTAAAGTTGGAAGCTACCAAAACCTAGTTTCCGATACATTAAGAATGTGGCAGCTATAGGCACGCGAGCATGCGCGCGCGCGGACGCCGCTCCGGTCCGACCGGTCTGTGCGCTAACCAGTTCTGCGAACTGTAGTGTTGGGAACACCCGGATTGAATTCGATCGATCTGTTGGATGCAAAAATACAACTAAAATGACAAAATTATAATAATAAAAGATAAACAAATCAATAAACTAAGCTAATTCCAACATTTATGGAATTCAAGCTAATTCAAACTGGTGGTAGGACCTCTTGTGAGTCCGGGCGGGTAGGTACCACCACTATTTATGACTATTTCTGCCGCGAAGCAGTAATGCGTTTCGGTTTGAAGGGTGGGGCAGCCGTTGTAACTATACTTGAGACATTAGAACTTGTATCTTTAGGTGGGTGGCGCATTTACGTTGTGAATGTCTATGGGCTCCAGTAACCACTTAACACCAGGTAGGCTGTGAGCTCGTCCACTCATCTAAGCAATAAAAAACAAAAAAAACAAAATGCGTTTTGGTTTGAAGGGTGGGGCAGCCGTTGTAACTATACTTGAGACCTTAGAACTTATATCTCAAGGTGGGTGGCGCATTTACGTTGTAGATGTCTATGGGCTCCAGTAACCACTTAACATCAGGTTGGCTGTGAAAGAAAAAAAAATTATTTCCAACATTTTAACGTTCTTTTTTAATGATTAGAACGTAAACTTTAAGTTTCGAATTGGTCGTATAATATAAGTATAGTTAAAAAGCTTATTTTAATAAAAACATTTACAGAAGGTTAATGTTGCTCATAATCTCCAACAATAAAGAGGTTTTTATTCCGTTGGTTCTATTCAATCGAATATCGTTCGTGTCATTGGGTAAAATGGATGTTGACATTAGCAAAAATATTTTTATATATAGACAGTTATTCCATCGAAAAGTATCAAGATTTGGCTAGTACAGTATAGCCATACATTCAATAAAAATAACATGCAAATATTTCTGAAAAACAATCAATCACAGCATCATTATTAGTTGATTATCTTAGTACTAAATAAATAATAATACTAGAAATGTTGCTACCGTAGCAAAGCCGATGTCGATGTAGGGCACTTAACGTGAAATGAATTATACCACCGCAAGAGGAAATTGATTGAAAGTAATCCATCATTATTTCGCTTGATTGATTATAGTCACTAAATAAATGTAGGTAAAAAATATATTTCAATAGTCTTCTTAATACTATTTTAATTTAAGTTTTTATTTGTTAGAAATATGAGAAATTACAGATATAATTTTATAATCATGGCCGATCCACTAGGTTAGACTAGACTGTGTCATACGTAATTCATTGCACTATTGTAAAAGATATCGACGGCGAACACTCGTAAATACAAAATATATTATGAAACCCCATTTTAAGACTCCCTGGGCGTGAAGTGTATTGTGTCCTTGATCAATGAACACAGAAACAACTCGCAAACGTAATGTGACGAAAAATCACTATTACACTATCACAAATGTAGTAACGCTTCAAAGAATGCTGTGTTTTTAAGCTATTGCATGGCTTTTATCGCGGTCTTTGAGCGCGGCGACTGAATCAAGAAATTCCGTAACGAAAATAACCTGTCACCCCTACTACGCCTACTATGTAGCTCGCGTTCAACACATTCACACGTTGCGCTGGTGTAGTGTTTGTGTATAAGCGCGCGGCGTGACGTCACACTGCATGAGCATCATGAAAAGTCTGCCCATCTCTCTCTCACGGCGTCTAGCTTATGAGTGTGAAGGGGACAGTTAATGTTTTGCTTTTGTTAATGTTTATAAATATAGCGTGGTCTTATTTTTATTATTGTTTTAATATTAAATTATTATTGTCTAATTGTAATTGCATAAGTTGATAAAAAATGCTTTGCAATAGCTTTACCGCGGCAGTCGCCGAGTGCCACACGTTTTTTTTTGGAGTTTACTCCTTTAGAATCGATTTACATATATAGGTCCGGGGTATGAAAATTATGGGGACCAAAATCGTACTAGCATGTCACACGAAATGCGTTATGCGCCTGATTGGCTCCTGATTGCGTGATGCGTGCGCGCGCCAATCAAAATCGTACTAGCATGTCACACGAAATGCGTTATGCGCCTGATTGGCTCCTGATTGCGTGATGCGTGCGCGCGCCAATCAAAATCGTACTAGCATGTCACACGAAATGCGTTATGCGCCTGATTGGCTCCTGATTGCGTGATGCGTGCGCGCGCCAATCAGGAGCCAACGCGCGGCCGCGTTATCGCAGGTGACGCCGGGCTGCTGCGCCGGCAGTCCGCCACAAAGCCTCGTACTGATCGCGCGTTTCTCTCATTATTGTATTTTCATATATTTGTTAGTCGTTTGTTTTGTGTCTCGTTAATTTGTTAATAATCTGTAGTGTATCGTGTTGTCGTAATATAGAACTATTTCTCGTATTGTTTCGTTTAATTTTTTATATCCAGTAAACTCCAGTCGTGCGTCGGAGCGGACACACACACTTTTTTTTAAATATTATTGCCCTTGTAGGCAGACGAGCATACGGCCAACTGATGGTGAGTGGTTACCGTCGCCCATGGACTTCAGCAATGCCATTGGCAGAGCCAAGCCGCTGCCTACCAAAAATGCGTGCGAAAGTGAATTTAGATCATTCTCAGTACTAGCACATCCCTAATTGTGAAAAACACCGGCATTCGCAAAAACTGCCCGCGCCCGTTCGCTTGTCTCGGGTTTGTTTTCAAAACACATTATTCAATGAATTATTGACGCATATTTACGAAAATTGTTTGATCATTTAGTTCGATTTGAAAAGGAAAAAATCATAATACATAGATATATGAATGAATTTTATGTTTTGAAACCTAGTGATAAGCGTGTTGATGGAATTACTCGTGGTGTATGTTTACGTGTCAGATATGTTTGTGTGTTAATAACAGTGTTAGTGGCGATTAAAGTGTATTGTTGTTTGGGCGTGCGATGTCGGAGACTGTCACGCCAACATGCTCGCCGTCCGCCAAGCTAAGGTAAAATTAAAAAATAAATAATATTTTAAAAAAACTAACAAAATCCAACTAAAAACCAGAAAATAAATATTAATAAATTTGAATTAAAAATAGTGTAAGAAAAAATGATTTGGTATTATCAAAATAACCCTTCTACTCATATCTGTTCATAAAATATTTATGACTACTTACTGCTACCATGCACCCCACGCTTTTTTTACAATAGAATCATATTTTCTTACACTATTTTTAATTTAAATTTATTAAAATTTATTTTCTGTTTTTAGTTGGATTTTCTATAAAAGCGTATTTTGTTAGTTTTTTTAAACTATTATTTATTTTTCATTTTTTAGTTGAATTTAAAAATATTTTTTTTAATTGGTTTTGGTTTAATGTTGAATTGTCATCGGTCCTTAATAAGTATACCAAATTTCGACTTAATCCGACGTTTTGAAGGGGGTCAAAATCATGTTCAAAGATTCCGTTACAAACATACATACGTCTGAAACTAATAAAAGCGTATTAAAAATTGGAAAGTATCTGAATTGAATCCAAATTGTCATAATTTTTAAGCAGTGATTATATTTTAAACATATGATGGAACAACACTATTTTGATAATTTTACTTAAAAGCTCTTTATTTAGATTCAGAACACAACTCTACTCACTACTCACTCAACTACTCACTCTTATTACTAAATGGTTGAACGATAAGTATTATTTAACGAATAAAATTATTTAGTTTAACTGTAAATTTTTCATTGTTATGAGGTACATCTTATGGGTTTTCGAATCACGAAAATTTTCAGATTCACTATCGAAAACCAACCTACTTATTTAATTCTTAGATCGTCGATAATATAATTGTACAGAAACACGTTTTAAAACCTGTCTTAAATATAATTGTGATTAATTTAAGAATAATGTCTCGACAAAAATTTATGTGAATATCTTGATTATTTGTTTTTCATTTTATTTCATTACCAAAACTAATCTCTCGGACTATCACGCATTTGATGATGTATTAAAAGAAAGCTGGTGGGCACTCAGGGCTTAAAAACAGTCAGATTATTTTTATATTCACGGTCTTTATTAGGCCTTTTTTTTATTGCCCATGTAGGCAGACGACCATTCGGCTCACCTGATGGTGAGTGGTTACCGTCACCTATGGTCTTCAGCAATGTCAGAGGCAGAACCGAGCCGCTGCCTACTGTTAAAAGCCACATTTTCGATCTTGCCTCTATTTTGATGTCATAAGGGTCATAAGGGAATCACCTAACTTTCACCATCCGCGTTGGAAGCGGTAGTTGGAGCATTGTTTAATACCAATCAAAACCTCGCTCATATACAACAGGAGTACACTAAACACCAAAAAGTCATTGCCTACCGATGAGAATTATTTTCAAACATTGACAAGACATACTACGTATAAATAAAATTGCTCTATTTGATTCCACAATAATTAGATAGAGCTTAATTAATTTAGTATTTATTAATTATATTACTAAGTAGCTATAATGAATCTACTACTCATGCAATTTAATCTTCTTCTAATGTGGACCACTCAGGGAAAAAAATACTACGTATAGCACCTTGAAAACACCATGGAAGGGTGGGTTAAAACAAGTTAAAACTTAAAACTTTACTAAAATTATACTATAGCTTAAAACTAAGGAACACGTTTAATTTGGCAAAGCAAACTAACAATTGATCTCATTTTTGTTTTAACCTCTAATATCTGAAGCTCTAATACTAGACAGTAGTATCAAGATACTGGTCAGGATATTAGAGGGAAGTTATAAAATTGTTGTAATATAATCGGTTCTTGAAGCGTGTGCAAATTTTTAACTTAATCGAGTGCTTTGGAGTTGGTGAAAGCGACTTTCACAGATGCCCGTACACATAAACAAACATACACACATACAAAACTAATAAAAGTAAAAAGGTAATTCTCCGAATACTCCCAGTAGGAGTGCCGGTGCAAGTTTATATACATAACTCAGATATCAAATTACTTCAACAAAGATCCGAATTGTGTGTGTGCACTTAGGTAATCGATTAACTTATCTATATATATATATTTTTTTTTTTTTTTTTTTTGATGTTAATGCACTGTCGATTGCACCTATAATTGAGGTGACATCAGCCATGAACTTTTGTCAATTTGTCAATGTTTTGTATTGATGATCACTTTGTTGGTGCAACTTAATAAATAAATAATAAATAATAAATAAATAATATGTTTGTTGGTGGAATGACTGGAGAGTTCATCTATTAAGCACCTATTAAATTTTATCATCAACCTCGGTCTCGAGACGTCAACTGTTAGACACACGCTTCCTAAGGTTCGTCATCATGACCGGTCCTGCGATTTATCTTATACCTTAAAACGAGCAACTCTTGTATATTAATATATACTTATATAATCTGAATCTCTGATACGGCTCCAACGATTTTCATCAAATTTAGTATACAGGGGCTTTCGGGGGCGATAAATCGATTTAGCTACGATTTATTTTCAGATAATGTTGTTTTATTCGTGTTTTCAATAATCAACTCTTCCCGACATCTATTGGCAAATAATAATACTATTTTTCTTAATTGAGGGCAACTAACCGCTTTACAGACACAACAAGATGGCGTTATCAAAAAAAAAAAAAACCATCATCTAGTTGAATTTAATATAACAAATAATAAGATATAGTATACCACGACGATGTCAAGATTTAATCTCGCAATTTATTTTCGAATACTGAACAGATTTTGTTTTTGTGTTTCGTCCGTGCGTTTTCAATTCGTTAATTTAAAAAAAAAAGCCTTCGTGAACAGCGATGATTCCGGTAAACATCTCAACGACCATTCATTCAACGAGAATGAACTTGTTAAGGGAACCAGTAAAAATCGAATTCATTAAGTTTGAACGATAAATTATATGGCGCGTGAACATTTACATTTATTTTTTTAAGTTCTTTAAACAATATTCTTATTTCGAGACTCTTCGAATCGAGTGCAAGACTCGAGTCATTAACCAAAGCCATGACAGTACAAAGCCTGTATCAAAAAAAAAAAAACTTCTTCTCATTCTATAGGGTTGAGATTCAGTAATTTATATTTGAAATTTATTTAAAAAAAAAATACACAACATTTATAGGATTTTCTACAAAAAAGTAACTATCAGAGTCATTTCGGAACAAGATCCTTGTTGTCGTGTGTGTAATAAAAGACAGGTTTTAATAAATAAATATAAAATAATATTAGCACAGGTAAAGCAGTGTACGCAGTGAATTCGATCTGTAATAAAGCAATTTCGGCTTTTTATAATTCAAATTGAAGATTTCAATGTCTTTGGCAAACGCCAAAGGTGATTGCTTTTTTTAACTTATTATATTTCTTTCGGTAATGTAACAATGTATACAATATTGACCTCCGATCTGGTTCTCTGGTTGAATGACAAATATGACAAATACGCGTCTTCTAAGACGGTGGTCGTATTCAAAATAGCATAGTAATCAATTTGAGCTCGTTTTTGTTACCAGCTATAACTAGGGTATAGGTAGGCTAGGACGGGCTGGTACTTTTATCCTTATTTTTATTTCTTGCCCATTTCTGGCTTGAAGCAGCTACGCCTTCTCATCTGGAGAGAAAGAAATCATTCCAAATCATTGAGCTTTCGCCGTCATGTCTCAAGGTGGGTGACTACATTCACGTTATGGAGCTCATAACTAGTAATTACCTATGTATGTTTATGGCCTCTAATAACCACTAATTACCACGTGAATCGAGAGCTAGTTCACCCATCAAAGCTATATAAAAACGATCGCAGTGGCAACAAAATTCTCATTTAATAATTTTTTTTTTGTTGGTTTAACCAATTCTCAATAATGTCTTGCATTCTCTACATTGATAGAAAGTTTGATATAATTGGTTCCCTAACTATTGCCACATCGATTACAGCTCAATGTGGATCGTTATGAATTTCATTGTGTAGAAAATCAAGGTCACAACCATATTCTAAATATCAACGCCTTGCGGTGTTCAAATAGGGTGCTTCTTTAAGAATAGCATTGAGTAGACCAGCACGTAACAGAATATTTGACACATAATTTCCCGTCCAAATTTATTTAGAGCGAAGTAGTGATGGGTGAAGTTCGTCTTGAGTTAAGGCAAGCAAAATACCAGCTTTTATACAAGCAAGACCTCTTGGTCCGAATGAATAAACCAAGGTCTATTATACAAGAGTAAGACTAAACGTGCAAGCCTAATCAAAATTTAAGTTCCGTTGAAATTATAAGTTAATTTATAATATATATGTCATAACTTGAACATAATTATTATAATGGTTCTCTTCTGGGAACAAAATATATTATTTTATTTTCAAAATTATAATTTACTTTATTAGATTTTAGCACTAAATATTATAAAAACACTATACTATAACATTGGAAAGTAGGATCTGCAATAATGTTCCAAGAACGAGACTAAAAAAGCAATACCAAGTCTAAGATTATCCTAGTATTTGGCCTTATTATTTTTTTGCTCATTACTAAAGTGAAGAATTAAATTCTATGTCAAAGAAATATAACACTAAAAATTCAAAATATTCACCTTTTAGTTCGCTCTATAGTAATATTTTAGGTAATACTTTACGTAAAACCTTAAAATCTTATCGATCAGTTTACCTTTGCACTTGCAATTTTAATAGGCGATTTATCAGATTGGCTACCAGGAATAATGTTTATTACATAATTTTATTATGGTGCATTCATTCTAACGCATCTACTGAATTTATGAACCATATACTTACCTGTGCAGCAATTCGAATTAGAGATTGTGTATTAAAATTGTTGATTGTGTTTTTACTGGTGGTAGGACCTCTTGTGAGTCCACACGAGTAGGTACCACCACCCTGCCTATTTCTGCCGTGAAGCAGTAATGCGTTTCGGTTTGAAGGGCGGGACAGCCGTCGTAACTATACTGAGACCTTAGAACTTATATCTCAAGACGGGTGGCGCATTTACGTT